AATTCGTAACTTCCAACTTCGATCCAATAGACTGTTCCAGCTTTCACCATCGGCCGAAGACTTTAAATATACAGATTTTAACATTTTTATTAAAATCACATTAAATATTGATCTTTGCGGACTTGGTAAATATTGGACCATAAATGAAAGTTTTTGTCCAATAAAGCTCGCCGTTTAAAAATAAACAGTAACTTCCAATCTAAAGAAAGCACCAAGTTGCAGCTTTTAAAATTCATAGATGACTGAAAAAGCATCTGAAAGTCAGGAAACTTTGCTTTAAATCACGACACATCTTGATCTTGCAGTTTTGGTAAATATTGGCCTACAAATTATCTTTTTCATTCATGTGGACTTCTTGTTTAAAATTTCGTGAGTTCGAATATGGAGTCAGTAGACACTTCCAGCTCTCACCACCTATAGCGGATACTTGAATGTATAAATGTTGAAATTTGTGATGAAATTGCGTTAGATTTGGCAAATATTGATCTAAAAAGGAACGTTTTTGCCCAAGTGCGATCGCTAGTTGAAAAATTCGTAACTTCTCCCTAACGAATCTAGACCAAGTAGACATCATTTGCGACTTTCACCATCTGTAGAGGACACTATGGATGCTGAATTTGTAATTGAAATCACATCAAAAATTTAGTGAGAAAATTACTTAAGAAAATTAATGTCACGCCACTTTTTGCCCATTTCTCAGGAAGCATATTGAGCAGGAGTACAGCATATTTTCTAATTTAAGTAATATTTAGAAGCTTTGAAGCCTGGAATTGCTGCCCCACTTTGTATTAATTAAATTAAATATTCTTATTTTTCAGTCAGAAATCTGAAATTATGACCATTTTTTGGACTTCTCCTGAGGTTTACCTGTTCTGCTTGTTAAGTTTAGGGATGCTTAAAAATCGAAATACCGATACCGACCCTATAATTTAGAATTTAAGAAAATAATAGGTAAAAAATTTCAATTGCAATTTTTTAAATCCATTTTGGTCATAAAGATCTCCATTGTTTAAATCATCAAATTTCTATAGGCAAAAAAAGCGTTATTTTGTTGCTGGTTTTTTTCCTCATTTTTCATCATTAACTTCTTTGGAATTTCGCAAAAAAATAAATTAATTTTGTTTTTTAGAGAACATCTGCTTAAACAGTTTTTAGAGCAAACCCTATTTAATTTTTTTAACAGACAATCCTTTGTCTCAGGGCGGCTCAGGCTTAGATCGAGCTCGGTTCGTCAGGTCTGGAAGCAGGATAACGATTTCGATTTTTTCATGCTATTTGTTTGGGTGAAGAGCCAAAAGTCATCTAAAAACCTAGATTGAAATCAAACATTTTTTCATGCGTTCACGTTCCACGCAAATTAGTTTCGCAAACAATCCGCAACAATTAAATGCGAACAAATAAAAATGATCACAAAAACCAAAAACGCGAAACGTTTACATCGGCAAACACAGTTAATTAAAGAAAACCCCCCTAAAAAGCTAAGCAATCAGCTAACCGAAAAAATTAGATTAGCTTTGGGACTTATTTATTCGACAATTAGCGTAAAGATCCGTCCCAAAAGACCGATCAGGCTAAAAAACAAAAGGTCTTTCGGTGCATGCGAGCCGCAGATAATTGAAGTGACATCCAAGGGCCACTTAAATCCTCCCAACTCCCATTTGGGGAGGCCCAATGTGAGATGATACTAAAGGGAGACAAATCGAACATAAGCGTAGATCATGCCAATTTTTTTCTGTGTATTTACTTGGAATTATAAGTATTATCATCATATGCGTTTTACTTGACTGGTGTTTTCTGCCGCAATGTTGCTTACACGTTGGCTTTTTTTAATTGATTSATCTGAATTTAATGGGAACWGGGCCTAGTTGCAGAAGAACGACTGAATAGCAATATAATAAACAATAACAAAACAGAAAATTAARCTTTTGYCGCCTTTGMTRGGATCTRGTGAATTTTTCATTTTTCGGGCTTTCAGCGTTAATGSRGCATAAGTCTTGAAGAAATTCTTTTCCACGACGGTCTAAAACTCCGAAGAATTCACCAGTTTTACTAAGGCAGCAGTAGAAACGTTTACAATTGATATCMWTCARTTAATCAGCTGTTGCAGTGCCAATTTTCAATATAAAACAGCTAATTGCCTGCTAAATCGATTAAAAAAGTAATTTTCAATTTTTGCCTMCACCAATGGGCTTTCTAATGGAACAGAATCCGATGTCCCCAGAGAAGTGTGATTAGCGGACAAATCGTAGAATGGAGGGCAAGACTTATGGGCTCGTCCTGGACAATCAATGTCCGAACGACGACGGCGATTTTACGCCAACGAATCGACTTTGAGCGATTTATTTATTTTGTCAAATTCCGTTGTTAGTTTACAAGCCGAAAAAGGGTCGTAAAAATCGAGCTTTAGTCGCTGGCAAAAGCTGCTAAAATGCAAAATATTTGTCTGAGCTTGCATTTATGTGTCTAAATGTTTTTCGCATTTGTTAAATTTTGTAAACATGGTCGGAGCCATTTGAAGTACCTCTAGGATCAAATGTGTGAACTTATTCTGGAATCGAGTGCAATTTTTCCTGGGGAAAGAACCTTCTAAATCTGTCTCTATAATTCACAATACACAAACTCCCACATCCACCTATGCTACTTAATAAAATAGAGTTTGAAAACAGTGAAAACCCAAGAAACGATTTATTTTCTTCTGATTGCGCACGAAATTTTACGACTTTCTTATCGAAAACCCTTATTGATACAGTTTCGTTCGGATTTTTATTGGAAAACTTATTGGACCAATAAGGGACTTTTCGTACTTATGAAGTACAATAAACTTGACAGTAGGAATGGCCATTACATGATCAACTGTTTTACGGTCCCGATTTTTCCGATATCAGCCCCTGATATACGAAAGGGATGAATTCCTTAGGATGGTCGCATAAAGACGTTTAGGACGATACGTGACTTGATTGGGCATTTCGGTATTTGGGCATAAAACGCTTCGGTTTTTTTTATCTTCCTTTCATCCGGCTGTTGTCTAGTTTAGTATCTTTCCAAACTATTTCAATACTGTTTTAATCTTGCAATAAGTTTCAATTGTTAAGCTTCCAATGGCCAACAATGTTATGATCGGCCGAACGTTTTTACACGTGTTTTACTGCCACATTTTATCAAAAAAGTATTTAAATCACTTATAACAAAGAGCTAAAGACAGTAGGTAGATACCTAATAATAATGCAGACATTTCCATGATTTCATGTTTGTTCGTTAATCTGCCAGTTATTGATTCGCAACCTAATTTTTTGTTAGTGAAAGTATCAAATAAACCTTTTAGAAACGTTTCAGCGAATAGAAGGCAACCACCTGATTAAACATGTTGGTTAAGGTGCGTTTCAGAGGCATAACTTTCAGTCGAATTAGGTAAAGTTTGTCTATAAAAACGTTCTTTGATTTTTCCAGTGGGTTAATTTCAGAAAATAAAATTAAAAAATTATGGTTTTGAGAAACAGACAGGGAGGTCAGTACATTAATGCCAAATTTATAAGAAATAAGTTGAAAATGACTGCACAGATAATTGCACTTATTTTCGCGCATTAAGCACATGGTATTGTTAGTGCTTTCGAAGACTTCTTTGATCCGCTCTTTTATGTCCTCTGGTATTGTTGAAGACTTGCTGAAAATTATTTCTTTTTAATATTCCCAGAAACAATTCGGAGACGTCAAATCTGGTGATGATGAAGGCCAGTTTTGACTATCGTTTCTTCCATTCCAGCGCTGTTGAATATGGAAAATGTCCGGACTTTGCGCTGAAACTGTGCTTTAATGTCATGAAATGCCTTCTAATAATATTGGAAATTCATTGTTGAAAAAAATTAAGTATGTAGGTAATATTTCTCCAATGTAATGTGTTTTGAGATTTTGGGCTAAATTTAAAGTTAGTAGATTAATTAATGTCGGCAATACTAGTAACAAATAGCGCCGTCTGTGAGCTGCGCGGAAATTGTATTACCATCTGATTCGTCACCTAAATAAACCCATCGTCACAAAATTTCAACTTCCTGGCTAAAGTATTTTCAGAATACTGAAAAAAACACGAAATTGAATTACAAGTTTTAGCATTTTGGATTTCCGAAAATATTAACTTTCGGATAAGGTCAGTTCTGGTACGCCCAGGTATCCAGCCAGCTAAGATTGTTGGCGAAATAAAGTGGACACATTCTTAATGTATGAATAAGAGTATATTGGTAAATGATAAAGAACAACACAGTACAAAAGTAGATTTCCGCGATAAAAGGTTGCTCTCGCGATAAACAAAAATTATGCTGCCTAAGCAATATGGCTTTGTGGTACACTGTGGTCCATAATATATATGGCTGAACTTATATTGATAATATTAAAAGCATTTTGATTATAGTCTTATTCTAACAAAGATGCTTTAGGTGTTCATGCTAAGTGGCCATTGGTGGCCACCACCATTTGACTTGTATCTCCAGCTTCCGAATGTTCATTCTGAATGTAAAAAATCTGTATTTATTAAACAATTCAGAATCAGTTGGATACGATGAGCAAAACTTGATGCATTTTTATGGAGGCTAAAAATCATGATCTATTCAGAAAATCGGCATATTTGTCCACAAAACTAACCACCCGATGGTAGTTTTGAAGCGTGTATGATACACGGGTATTAATAAATAATGGGCTCAGTCGCAGTTGCCATGTTAATAGCTCAGCTAGCTGTAAGGCCCCATTTGCAAAGCTGGATACGTAAGTTCATAATCAAGGGTATCAAGCCACATAGAGGGCAATTATCATCCCGAACAAAAGAAAAACAATCAACAGCTCGAAAACAGGTAAAGCAGGCAAATCGGTGCCACCGTATGGTTTGGATCGGAGGTGTGGCCTCAGTTGGCTCCGACCAGTAGGCGGGCATTCACGATCGACGTCCTTTGATGTTCTTCGGCCGGCAAAAGCGTCCTAAAGACTTTGCCCGCCCAGGTGGGCACCGGGCCTTTCGGTAGGGGGAAAACAAAAGCCTAACGTGTTGTCATCGGCCGAAAAATGGCAACACGTTCTTTTGATAACGCCGTCTCGACGCACCGACGGTCAGTCGAAGTGAAACCACCGCGACGCCGGAGCTGCCGCCTGAAAACAAAAGAGTATCAATTACGACGACGTGGCGGACCGCCTTCTTGACGAGTGGGAGCAGCCAATCTGAAAGAGAAGTCCTTCACTGTAGAGCCTACAGGATCCTGAAATATTCTTTCTGTCAAAACACTGGCTTCTGTTAATATCGCGGGACTTGGCGCGCGCGGATTTACCTTCAACAATGCCGGGCCGGACAATAAATTGTCCGTAACGTGAATTCGACCTTCTTCAGCTGCGCTTCAGCCCATTGTGATCTGTGATAAAATGTGTCATGAATTGCGGTGATAGCGGTGATTATGGAAGAGAATTGTACTATGCGACCTTGTGCGACGGACTTTAGCATTGCGGCTATCATGTCCCGGCATGGACGCATTTCTGGCAGGTGTCGGGATCGCGACCATCCAGACAGTGCATCTCCCATAGGTAAGTCTCTAAGCTTTCCACATAAAAAACCATCTATAAATATTCCTCAACTACTCATGCAGTTGAACCCTGCTTTGTGCCGCACGTTCTGCCAGTCCCAATATACAGGGTGATACTCTTTAGCATTTTGAATGTGTCACTGCAATGAGCTTCACCTCTGTTAAATAAAACGTCAAATTTTCTTACAGCCTGCGATGTTTTAAATTTGCTTCCATAAGTACTTCATTCATGGAATTTATGTAAATCTACCCTGCTTTTTACTACACATCGTGTTAATTCGCATATACAGGGTGGCGCACATGCTTTAAAAAGACCAGAACTTATGGCCAAAGAAAAATCTGAGTTTTTCAATTGGTTACTTCAATTTCCTTTTGAGCAAATTTCTTGCAATATCAATTTATCTGCGTTTGAGAGATTGATTTCTTCAATTCCTCCTGAACCTTCAAACACTTGCACATCATCCGCCTTGCTTGTTTTATCTTCATTTGCTTTATTATTTAATTTGAGAGGTTTTTTGCCGTTTTCAATGTTTCACGCCAAAGTGTCTTCTTCTGTTAAATCCAACGTACAATTTTCTTCTATACTTTTCGTTTACCATGTATTCAATTTTTCCTAATTGAAAAGTTCAATTTTCAAATATTCCTGCCACCAAAACCCTGCTTTGTGCACTGAACATTCTGATAGGCCACATATACAGGGTTAGGTATGGCAAATGTTTCAAAATATGCTACAATTTAAAAACATTCAGTTGAGTTGTACATTTTATTATTTGTCTAATTTAATTCTCTTTAGATCATTTTGCTGTCGGAAGCAATTTATATTCGTTGCGGATATTTTCTTCACTTAATTTTTTTTCAGATTATCCCGCATTCAGGAGACGTCTTACAATTTTGACTATTTCTTTTGAAACTGCCTTAAATACGATTTTGTCTCTGAAAAGCAGAAAAAGATAAGCCATTGGTAAAGAAAATTAAAGAAGGAACTAGTTGTTTTTACAATTATTCAATGCAATATTTTTAAATCGTTTTTTTTTTATTATATTTTAGAGTAGGTAGATACCTATATTATTTTCCTTTCAATGACTTTTAAGTTTGTTCTATGTACATATGAAACAGAAAACTGCCAAATATATGCTTGAACTCCATAAATATAATTTCAGGTGTTGTTTTTATTCATAATCATATATATATATAGATTGATATGCAATTTACAGGGTGTCACATTAGTATGAAATAGTTTAATTGGGTCTATAAAGTTACAGAAAGACAAAAATTGAAGTACCGGGAGTACCTACCTACTTAGATTTGCGATCTGCATACGTTTAATTATTTTCCAGTATACAGAGTGTCTCATAAAAGCCTTACCGACATCAACATTGGCATCGCGCGAATATTCCCCGAATTCATTTTGTAGGTATGCAAACATTTTTAATTACGTTTGGTTATCTGCATCTGTTAAATCAAAAGCAAATTTTTCTTCTTTGTTTATGTTGTTTTCCATTCCCTGCAGTTGAAAACGATAATTTACAAATAAGTCTGTAATTGTATTAAATAAATTATTCTTTATTTAAAGTAGGTACATGCTTAAAAGTGCCTTTAGTTTGAAAGTAAAAAAACTAAAGTTGTGCTTCTTATAATAAAAAGAGCATATTTAAAAAATTCACACTAGAGGTCTTAGAAAAAACATTTTTTTTGTGCTCAGTTAGACATGTTTGGAGCCTTTTCTTTGAAAGTTTCCGACAACAATTAATCTTCATTGAGAAGATTGTTTTCTTTAGACCACCTGATGTTTAATGAAAATGTGTCGACAGCATCTGTATGGTTTACTTTCTCATCATTAGCATTTGCTTTTAATGCAGAAAACGCCTTAGAATTTAATAAACTCAAAAACGTAATCGCTAAAAATTACGCCTATAAATAAATTTAAAAAAATCAGCTGGCTGATTTTGGAAGAAATCCAGATATACAATCCTGCGGATTTATTAGTATCTACATTGATTATTATATGAATGAAACGAGCTCAAAGTTTGGTTGATTTTCAGTTTAGTAACAAGAAAAAACAATCGACAAATTTATGAAAAATTGAGACAATTTCTGTATATTTTATCTCTCTAATTATATCAACGTTTTGTTGAATTGCTTACGCTCTTAAATTTAGTTTATAATTGTATTTACTGTGTACAAAGTAGCACAAACTGCTCTGAAAAATTGCTTTTACTGAACTAAACTGAATTGTGAAAATACATCTATTGTACCATTCCAAATTTTGCTTTTYATTTAAMATATTTMATTTTTATAGAAGATAAGAAGCTTTGCAATATATGTATGTTAAATATGCTTGTAAACATTTTTGTGAACAAAAAAATATTTCCWCGGATTTATTCACTTATTAATGGCTTCCTGMGAGAATATTCAGAACCCAAAAATTTTRAAGATTATTAACAGAAATTGAAAWGRTTTTGKTATTTWGCTGTTGATAATTGACGATTGTTTCATGGTTTTATTTTAAGCCAAAAATATTAAAATAWGYACAAAAATGTACACAATCTGTTTTTAGTTTCACTTTATTAATTTCAATTTTTCGCAAGTCGGTTGATCAAAAATGTGTTACAGTTTAASATCGCCYCAACAAACGCCCTATTAGATTTTKCAAAAACCTATAGAACAAACCTGATGAAGCAYCAAAAGAACAAAACTAGAAAAAGGAWKAAAAATTCCGKAGATCAAATGTTTCAATTGATTGTTAAAAGCTGAAGCGTTTGGTGCTCGGAAGAAGAGTTCAAATACTTAGGGTTAAATCAGGAAAACAAGCCGGTCATAATTCATTTGTGGAGAATTTGTACCAAATTTCTTTCCACTGGCGATGGAATACGGCGGACGCAGTAGCGGAAGGTAATTTAAATCTTCATATTCCGAATTTCAACTTTGAATTTTTATCTAAAATTCTAAATTATTATTTCAGATCCAAKTTTTAGACGTAAAAWTCAGTGCYAAAACTTGAATCGTTGAAAAAACTCCAAATGCGACTTTAACTTCAATTTTAGACCGTTAGACAGTAAACTCCCGATCATCATTCAAAAATGCCACRAGAAAACTCTTCAGCTTCGTTCCTCCATGCACTCCTTCCTTATTGTCTTAAGGTTGGAGGCGTGTATCCAGGGCGGGGATTAACAGCTGGTTTGCAGTCCAGCCCAAAATATTTCCAAGGCAATTAATGTCTAAAGTTGTCTATTTTCAGAGTGATAATTTGGTAACCGGTCATAATTACGTTTCATAATTGCCAACTATTAAAATTATATATGTCTGTTCCGGAATATATAATTTACCATGTCAGAGTATTGTTAACTGATGTCGGTTTCGTTTTCCTTTTCTTGTTGTTGCTTAACTTTAAGACAAATTATTATAGTAAATAATTAGAGAGTTAGTTGAATGGCTTCCAAAATCTTCAATTAAAGTACAGGTTTGAAAAGACGGTGCTTATCACACAGGTTTGGAGTTATGGTAGATGGACGCGAATATTTATATGAAGAATAAGGCAGGTTTTAATTTTAAAGCTGGAAACATTATGACCTTGGTAACATCTTAGCAAAATTTGGTGAGAAACCAACATGAAAACCTACAGAAGGTTAAGAAGAGATGGAGCCAAAGATATCGAAAAACTAAATATAGCAGATGGCAGAAAAATCACAATCATTCACAGCTGTTTGTTTTATGTAACACCGGCACCTTTTCATAGGGTGAAAACATTCGCCTTTTCCACTGCCTTATTTATCAATACATGGTACCACCCCTTCCGGATGTTCTAACGAAATCACTTTGCAAACTCTTCCAAATATATCCGTTAAAAAGCCACTGGCTGGAATTGTGGATTTTAATAATTGCCCGGCCATTAAGACGGGTATAATTTACATTGTCATTACATGCATGATCCCCCGTTCGATAAAGATCTTATTGGTGAGTGGGTCTGAACAGTGGCTAAACACTAATGTTCGAAACACAACTCCGAACCAATTTGAGGACATTTAGGTGCTCGGTTTCCGCCACTTTCATTTAATAACACGAATTTACTTAATGATACAAAACGTACGTCGCATTTTTATGGAATACTTAATTGCCACCCAGGTGTGATAAAAATCTTCGGTAATTATGCATGCCTGCCTACCTATGTGGAGGGCGTCCATTTTCGGAACGGGTTTACTGCGTGCGAATCGAACAAATGAGGAAAATTTATGAAAATCTCAAATGGGCTGAAATAATTCCCTTTGGAACATCTGAGGTAAACGAGTTTTACCGCTAATACCAGAACATTTCTCTTGCCTGATAATTCCCTGAATTTAATGCCGAAATTTGAAAATTTGCATTGCATATATTTATTTTAAAGCCAATTAGCGACTCAATTGTTGACTTTTCTTTATTTATTTAAATGAAGAGCTTTTCGTGTCCGAAAATTCTAAATAAAAGGGATTTTTTCGCGGCTTTAGCAAACAAATAACTTTTCCTATTCCAAATAATTATTTGTCCCCTTAATCTACGACAACAAATCCTTTCATTTATTTAGTTAGTTTGCTTACTTATGCGTTTTTTGTATTTGCACTTTTTCTTACACTTACTTTTTGCTTTATTTTAAAGCCTGGGCTATTAAAAATTGGCATTTCATATATTTATCTACTGTATAAAGATTTATCAACTCGATTGTTAACTTTTCTTTCACTCTATTTGAAACTTTATTTCATTTGTTTGAAAGCCGCGTTATCCTGCAAACTTCGAAAAATCTTTGAAGGCGGCAACTACTTGAAAAATTGAATCCTTATCGATTTTTTAAATTTATTAAACGTACAATTTTTGTACTAAATAGACCATCTGCTACTTTACTCATAAACCCGAGTTGCAAGATATTCTCTTTATGCGTGCCCGAATAAAGAGAGGCAAATCTTGTCATAGAACCGAAAAAATGGCCACAAAAAATTATTCGACGCGTAGAAAAGTTAATTGTTCGGTAGCTTCCAAACTCAATTTCATGGCAACTTTATTCGAATTAAGCAAAAATGAACTTCTGCAAATGTTAATTTTAACTCAATAGTACTATGAATAATAACTAATTACTTATTGCACATTTCATAGAGCACCTTATTTTTGATAAAGTAATATTAGCGTGATTAAAGCCAGAATTTAAAAAAATAAACCAAAAAGTTACCAAGACATTTGCGTATAAAATTATATTATAATTATAAAATTAAATTTTTGCATTGACTAATAAGCTACTACAATCATCTAACGTTGAATATTTTTAAAGCAAAATAAATATTAAACCGCATTGACTCATTATTTTTGGTAGCAAAAAGAACATGTCGAAAAAATCGAGAAAAAATTCTCCAAAACTCATCAAACGTGCTAAAGTTCGTGATAAAAATAAAAAATACACAAGTCCTTGTCCAAAAAAAGGATTAAAAATTTTTTTTTGATTTGAATTTGGACCACCAGAAATAAAATCTTAATTAGCAAAATTACAATTACCAAACGACTATTTGAATCGAATTGCGCTCTTCTAATCTTTCCTAAACAGTAGCAAATAAAAATTGCCAAACTTGAAAAAGTAATCTTTTGTATCTGAAAAATGAGCGATTGTTTGAAACAGTTTGCAAGCGACTGGCCTAAACATTTATAAAATTTCTTGGAAAAAATCATCTCCAGATGCGTCTACGTACATTAACGGTAAACGTTTTTACACTGCATAAATTATCCACCTATTAATAATATTTGCATACTATTATGTAGACCCAGTCACGCAACTTACTCAAATATTTAAACATATATTTTATTAATTACATTGGGAAATTATAGGTGTTGAGATAAATAGTCTCTGCCCTTTTTTGAGCCATCGTTTTCACACGTTCTTTACCGAAGATCCGCCTGTGTATATTTGAACGGTAAACGGTAAAGTGTAAGCTGTATTTCAGCATTTTTGACTTATCTGTTTGTTATTCCTTTCAGTATAACAATCAGTGAGCACCCGGTCAATGTAACTTAAATAATGTATGGCACAAAGGCGGAAATATCGATGTTTATCTTGATCGTTTTCGTCATTTGTTCTTTGGCTCACAGACAATGGCCTCCGAGTCGAGAACTAATGGCGAGTGGATAAGATGTAATAAGTAATAATAAACAGTGAATTTCACAATCAGTTGCTTAAATGAGACCCAGTTACATTGTAGGCGATTTCTTTGTTTTCGATTCTTTTATAATGCGTTTTAAATGTGTTCTTTGCAGATAAATTCATAGATGCTTCGTCTACATCAGTACCTTCACCGCCTAACCCAGGAAGCTGTGCCTCAATAGCAACAGACGTTGAAAGTGGAAGAGATTCTCCAGTAGATGTTTCTTCCACTTCTGAGTCGAGCACACCTACACAGTCTCATGGAGACAGTAGGTAAGTTGCTTCGGAGCCAAACATCTTGCGGAAAGATCTGAACATTCCAGTCTGTTTATCCCAGAATAATTTATGTTTGTCTTCATTTGTTATTTATTTCGTTAATATTATCAGCGTTGGTTTTTCAGGCTACCACCAATAAAAAATCCATTGCTACAAGAAAAATGGACTAGCGAAGACTTAAGGCATGTTACCTGCCATTTAGAAACTAAGGACCTTTGGGACAAATTCAACGATCTGGGCACTGAAATGATTATAACCAAAACTGGAAGGTGAGTACCAATAAATATATTTTTAAGCATTTTTCAAATTATACTGAGTGGCGGTAGTAATAAGATCGAAATTAATAGAGTGCGAGTTTTAATAACACAATACGCTTCAATTAATTTTTAATTGTAATGCCGGTAACCGTGAAATTGATAAACCCATAAAAGAACAATTAAACAAATAATAAAAGTCAAACGATTTGAGCGCACAAAATTAATGAACATTTGCGACCTCCCATATCTTTATCGTTTGGACGCAGTGAAATGTTAATTAATTATTGTTGATTAAATCCCGATTGGCCTCATGAAGTTCGGCTACAACAACGAATTCTATTAAACTTTTCATTATTAGCCAGTATGCTAAACTAAGCTATGAGTTTGCCATATGTTCATTTGGAGCGTTTTCCGCTACACTTAAAATTTCATACTGCTCTAATCATTAAGCTCATCAAACACCTTGGAAATCGATTAGGCCTTTTTCTACCTGACAACTCACCGCAGGCCTTCTGTCTTACATCAATACGAACAACTTAATTGTTGTTCAAAATTAATTCTTCACTGAATTGAATTAAAAGATGAGTGTATCGATTGGCGGAGTGTAAAGTCGATGAATTTAATACGGGGTTTAGACCAGACATACAGGGTGATTTAAAATTGGCGCCATTCCTCTGGAGGTGGTTTGGGAGTACGTAGAAAGCTGATGAGAGATAGTTAATGTTGCTTCTGCCTCCTCGACGCACTTAAATACATAAACGAAACGACAGTTTTCAGCTTAGAAATGATCCAGTCGAAATTTTCTTTGAAAATACACTTTGTATTATAATAATGGGAAACGTTTGCAAACTTGTATCTTTCTATCTAACAAATATTTAACGGACTTAACGAAACTCACCAGTTTCAAACATCCAACCGTCGCCGGACTAATTTACTCGTTAATTTCGCATTTGCATTAAACAGTTTTTTGTTCTTTTCATCTAAAAGTACTTGGAAACGCCGGGTTTCATACAACAGCTTAGCGGCCGTTCGTGTGGTCCACATATTTCGATCAGTAGCCAATTAACAGGTGCGAGATAAATATCAAATAAATTAAACCATTGCAAAGTTTGGGTTTTTAATTACGAATTCAGTCGATTTGGCTGTATAATTTTGCTGGAAATCGACAAACAGCTTTTTCAGTTTGTCAGTCAAGAAACTCGGTAGTTTTTTGTCTTTTATCGAAATTTATTCTCCGAATAGATGGAATTACGCAATATTTTGCAAGATGCCCCACTTTGTATTGGGAAAAAAATAATAATTTAGTTCAAAATCAGATTAGAAGCACATTGCCGGTTAAATTTTAATTATTTTTTATGGAGGTTAACAATGTGCTTCTGGTTCCTGATTTTTGTAGAAAACTGACAATTTTTCTGCAATAAAAAATTGATTTCTATGTTTAATTACGTAACTTTTTATGCCATATCTTGGTGCTCTTTACAAATTTTATTCCAGTTCATATTCGTCCCCATTCCCGCTTTTAGTTCAATTAACAACGCCGCGTTTACTTCAATTTCCTCGGGCTGGAAAATCGCCACTTTTTCTCGGGTTTTGATGTGGCCTTTCAAACAGGCATTATAAACTCTTTGAATTTGCATCCACCATCCACATTTTATATTCGTCATTTCTTTAAACCCCTTTCAGTGGCTTTGTGTTTGTCCCCATCTACTTCTAGTTTCAGTTATTGACTTGTTCAATTTATTCTGCTTGTGTTATTTAGTTAATTTTGTTCTTTGACTGGTTTTGCTGTCATCATCGCTTCTTTGCCTGGGTGTCTTTATTCTCAAGTTTATTAAGATTCATCTAACCATTCTCCGGCTGTTTTGCGTCTATGTTCCACGCTCCTCTTCAATCTGAGAGAGATGTATAGAAGAAACAAAGTAAATGATTAACATCACATGCAAAGAAACTGAGTTATTTAACGCAATTAATATCGGTGATTACATATGACTTTATTACCCACTGGCACCTTAATATCGCTGATATTATAATTAGGATATGATCATTTACGAGAGCTATGCGCTTGTAAACTAGTGTTTTCTCGTTTGTTATCATCAGACTGGCCGGAGAAATGACTTCTTTAATGACATCTTTAATTAAAGCCACTTTTCAGGTTTTATATTAAACGGTTTTTGTGTGGATCGCTATACGGTTCTTGATAAATTAAATGGGATTAATTACGAAGCGATCTGATTTTAAAGCGATTTTTGTCCATGGATTTATTCGATTACGGATTATTTATTGGGTAATGAAACTTGCTGAAGTAAATTAACGATAAACGGGTATAATTTATTGTTTTTGAAAAAACTTCCATAAGTTATTTCAGTGTTACCCTCTCCTACAAGCCGCTTAAATTAAATAGTTTGTGTATCAAAGTATCAGCAAATAATACTAGTTTTTTTGGTATTTCTATTCCCAATAAATTGGCTTCTCATTTACCTGAAAGCAGGTATCGAAATGACCTGGTTGCGTTATTTGTGCTTGCAATCCATCAGCTCCTCGTATCAAATTGATTTTTCATTATCAAAGCCGAAGAACGCAATAAAAGCAAATTACCTTACAACATGAAAACTGTCGGAAAATGTGACAAGCCCTTGTTTGTGTAATGTAATTCCATTACTAAATGATCAGGGTAAACTGTCGAGGCTTTTACAAAGATATGTGAGCGACGTTTCATTGAATTACCTTCCGAGGAAATGTCTTTTAGTTCGGTTTTTTCCTGCGTCGAATGGCTGTGGAAATGTGAATCTTGTCGAGGAAAATCAGCCCGATTTATTTCGAATATGAGTGAATTAAATTTAAAAAATATATCGCTAAAATGAGCTAAGAAGCTTTTGCTGTTGTCGTTTGTATAAAAATTAATTGCGAGCTAGCAGACGAACGAGAGCCTGGAAGCAGAGGATGTTCGACTTGCGAATCTGGAAACAAGAGCAAAGCAAATAATTATTCAACTCACTATTTTAAAGCGAGTTTTGGCTGCTAAATATAAAGAGGCGCGAAGTGGTATGAGGACAAAGGGCATATTTTGAGCACTCAAATGCGCAGCACTGCAGAAAATTTAGGTAGCCGCTTGAATCATTTTTCTTCATCTTCATTTATATGTCGCCCCTTGTTGGCCAAAGAGAATTAGTTGAATTCAAGTTCTCCAACATTGATTGGATGGCCATCATCGAACATTCTGCGGCTTCCACCATTGGTTCAGTAGGTGTGCAGTACGGCGACCACCCTGTACGAAAGCATGCAATATGCACCATAGGAATCTGATACGTCTGAATAATGGAAGCTGGTCATTTAATCAAGATCGTCGCAGATTAAAAACGAATATAACCAGTTTATCGTTTTTTGGACGCATGCTAAATAATATGAGCCCTTGAGCTGCGGATGACGAATGGTGGGTATTATCTTGAGCGATGGCAGCGTTTCAGTCAATGTCGTGACGTGGCTCCTGTCGTGTTTTAAATGTCGTTGGACGGTGGACGCCCCACGACGCCCATTTATCAAAAAAAAAATAAACAACCGAAATTTCAACTGCCCAATTTCGAATACTGAAGACGTTTACGCTTGCTGGATCATTCATAAAGCCTCAGACCGTTTGACTGCATTTTTCCAACCGGTGTGCATATCTAGTTTGTTTAAATTCATATGGAAAGTCCGTACATTTTAAGTCCTGCTAAAACGCCATTGTTCAAAGTTTGTCACATTTTTGCTCAGAAATCGAAGTGAGCAGCATCATTCACGAATACTTGAACTAATGCATTTAAATGAAATTTTCACCTATCACAATAACTTGTACACTCACTGGTCCTTGCAAGCTTCCATTTAGCATTTGCAGGAACATTTTCCAATTCATTTTTGACTATTGATTCTCTTCCTTAAGCAAGATTGCCTTCACATGTTTCAGTTTCTTCTTTGACATTACTCTGCTCACATTTACACGCAATCGGTGCACAGTTTTCCAATGTTCTCTTTGCTTCTTGTCTTCTTGTGATCTTCATTGGGATTTATTTAGGTACTGTATAAGACAAATCAAAATCTCAATTTAGCGCTGTTTGAGCCTGTACGGTCTCAGTTGAGGCGGTTTTATTTGAAGTAACTTTTTCTTCAAATATTTCGGGTTCTTCTTTACTCGGATTCACATTCGAACTCTACACAAGCATCGCCGTCATATTTTTTATTTACTTTCCTTTATATTTGCCTGTTTAGCGGCGATGCGTTCACAAGGAATTTCATACTCTTTGGATCTGCTGAAGTTCAAACTTGTAGAGTCTCAGAAGATATGGGATCATTTAAAGACAATTTCTTCTCTAGATGTTTCAGCGCTTCTTCATCTTCATCTTTGCTCTGCTCCCATTCTAACTCAATCGGCTGAAGCTTCTTCGCTTCAATGTTGCTTATTTTGTGGGCTGGTGGAGTCATTTTGATTTTAAATCGGGTGCTGATTGAGCCTCAAAGTCTCACTGGAAGCTGTTTTTTTTAAGGAATTATTCATTGAATGTTTTAGGTTTTGGACGGATTTGAAATATATCGTCTCCAAGATTTTCGCATTTCTCTTTTCCATATGTGGTGAAGTTCTTGAGTAGCGCTTCATTAGTCAATTCTATACTTTCTATCTGCTGATATTCGAACCTGTAGGCGCTCAATAGGTGATGATTCATTTGAAGTAGTTTCTTCACCAGTTTAATTTTCCTTTTGATCATTGTTCTGGCCTCAATCTCACTCCATCGGTCTTCGTGTTTCTCCTCATCTTTTCCAGAAAACTTTCAGCAACTTTTCCTGCTAAACTGTAAAATGAAACCTGTAAAAATTGATAAAAGCGAAGTTGAATTGGAATCTGCAACATAAGGGTGTAAATAATTACTTCCGTACTTTTAACTATGTGTGTAATTTGCTGCATTTTTCATTTTTCCTTTCCAAATAAATTGCTTGGGAAAAATTAACCATGAAATTGGCCGGATGGATCTCCGACCTAACAA